GGGGGCAGGTTGAGGGGCCCCTGAAGTGAAACAAACCTGGGGGGTTACATCATGTAACATGGCAACATGTCCCCTTTTTTTGTGCCAATATATTATATGTTGGTGGTCTGCAGCAATTAATACTGCAGTCTAACCCCCAAAGCAGTGCGTATGTGTGCGGGAGTGTGTGTAAATTTAGCCTTTTTTAAAAATAAAGTCAATTTGACATTGAGTTTGAAGTACAAAAAATTTAGGCCAGGGGAAGGGCCTCTGCAGTCTTCCAGTTTGGCATGTTTTTATAAAATTTAGATATGGTGGATTAGGCTTTTAACAAGAAGTTCCCTGAACTATCATCTATATCTGTAGACTTAATTTTAATTAGAATTGTTTTCCCCTATTGAATTGTCATTGTCTAGTCTGAAATTCATCAGAAGTGTCTTCAGATGCCTAGAATTTACTTTGATTTGACTCTTACTACTCTGGGTAACTATTATTTTGTGTTTGTTTTGAGTGACAGAGATACTTTAGGAAATGGTGGTGTCGAGCAACATATATGCATTTGAGGATGTTCCAGGGGAAATTAGTTAGTTGAACAGATGGGAATAGAAAATATTGTTTAGATAACTATAGATATCAGGTAAATCAGATGGTTGAATCTTGATTATCGAAATCCATCAAATCTGAATCTGCTCATAACTGGAAGGTTTCCTGGCTGTCATATATGACAGTGTCAATAAACTTTGTATAGTGTTGTGTCTGTTGCAGTGCAGCCATTTCAGTTTCGATTCTTATGTTGTACATCTCATAATTTCGACAAAGGGAAATCAGAAATTATGACAATGACAATCTTTATTCATCTCGCAGGGAGAAATTTGTCTTGGTCGTTAAAAATGGCAGTAGACATTACAAAAGTTAGACGTAAAGGTGCACCCATGCAAACGCACAACAAGTCAGGACATTAAGCCAAGTAAATACATGTCTCACGTGCTTGGATGATAACCCGCTCCGTAAAACATTCTCTCTCCCTCTCTCTCTCTCTCTCTCTCTCTCTCTCTCTCTCTCTTGTTTTATTTGTAGCGCTGTGTGTTCAGTAACCTCTCTGCAGTTGGTATGAATGAATTTTTTCTGTCTGTTCTTGCTTTTTTGGAAATGTATCGTTTACTGCGGGTCGATAGTTGAAATTCCAATGTCAGTTGGTGGCTATGGTCACTAAGCATTGTTTCCGCCTTTTTTAGAACGTTTGTCTTATGCAGATATTCAAAGTTACTTAAGTCTCTACCAATTGTTCTTGATGCCTTACTTATCAACTTGTTTGTTTTTATTGTGCTGCCTGCCCAAATTGCTACCGTAGCTATTGATACCAAAATTTATCAAAGTTTCTATGGTGGTGGTGTAGAATACTAGAGGCAGAAATAAGCTTGAAGCAAAACAAAGTGATGCGTGATACCACATGATATCAAACTAAATTTCAGGTTTGATGTTCATGTTAGAAAACCTTCTATGTGTACTTTGAAACTTGAGAATTTTATAAAGATTATATTTATCAGATATTCAACTTTTAATCAGGTTTACTGTTGCCCAGAATTACACTATTAAGTCATCTATTTGTAGTATTTAGACATGGTGATATCCATTATGAAAAAAAAGATTCATATACCAGCTTTGTCGTTGTTGGCAAAGTTGCTCAAGAATAGTGTGCTCGGTGAATTAGAATGAAGCCAGTACATTTCAAAGGTTTCTTGTCTGGACTTGATTGAATATTATACTGTTACATGCATAGAAAGAAAGAGAACCAAAAATTTCCTGCAGCCAGTATCCACAAATTATCCATTTCTCATGTGCGTAAATTACTGTACTTGTGATCTGTGCTATCATTAAGAACAGTTCTTTACTTGCTCTGCCATTAATGTACATAAATAAAGTTAAGGTCCTGTGAGGTTCCTCTTTCTAAACACTAGTGAGTGGGTGGTTGGCGGGTGATTCGGTGTGGTTTGCTCCTTCTTTCCTATCAAACATCTATCATCCTTATCTCCCCTTCTTCTTTTTTATGTTTGTTATTCTCTTGTAACACCTCTAATCTTCTGGCGCTCATATGACCTTATGCAGTTGCGAGTGCCGTAAAACCTCTACTAAAACTTAAAAGAAACACTAGTGTAATAATAACATTTAGGGAAAATGGAGTGTTTTGGTTTATCTTTCTTTTCATTATCTTCTGAGTGATGGACTTGAAACCTTCAATTTCCATGTTTTATTTAAATTTGCTTGTATTTCTAATTTTATAATACAGAATACAATGGAAGAATCAGATCAAGAAATGAGTGAAGAAGTGGACAGTGACAATGAGACCTGGGCTGGGCTCATACCTGGGCCAGATGAGAGAACAGAGCAGTGCACTCTGGGAAAAAGCACTCTCAACCTGCCAGAACTGCTTCTGGAAAAGGTACATTTCAAGAACAGATCTGTAACAGTTTTTGAAAGCTGTTGTAAGTTATATACAGACTTTGGTAAAAGAAGATCCAGTCAAGGTTTCTACCTCATTTTGAGTCCAGGCTTGTTATTTATATCTGGTGCTTTTGTTGAGATTTGCTCTCTGACTTTTATGGTTAACTTTACAAACCAGAGTGCACGCCTGAACATACCTCTACCCTTAACCTTCAGTGTACACCTCTGCATGTGTTGCTTCAAATCTAGCAAGTAGACCTAAAGGAGCTCAGGGGTATGGATCCTGTGAGATTCAGGAAACCAGAACTCAAAGAATGAAGCGTTCCTGGCGTATATATTATTTTCACATAAAAGTGTTGTTCTTTTGGAACCTAATGTCTATTATGATGATGATGTCTGCTTTAAGTGCGCATTTTTATATTTTTATGTAGTCAAGTACTTTTTGTCTGTGCCCATGGTTAAAGAGTGCTTTTGATTTATCCTCTTTTTTTTCCATATGTGTGTTTAAATATGTCATCTTCACCTTTTTGTGTAAAGTAATTTTGAAAATTATGATGTTGAATAATATATGTATAATATATACTATATTTAAATGTATATATATATATATCAATTGTTGTCATTTTTTTACCTTCTGTCTAATCTCTCAAGAAACACATCTTCATGTCAGTGCTGTCTGTGGATACTTGGGAAGCCCTGGCGCCAGAGAAGCGGAAGCATCTTGAGGTATTTTGAGCTTGTTTATGTTGTTGTTGTTGCTTTGTATTACTGGGACAGGTTTAAAAAAGAAATCTCATACACATCACTATGACAATAGATGGACAAGAAATTGTTAGGTGTACATGTACATAGTAAAGTTGGTATGAATTAAAGCAGTGCACAGTCAAAATTTGAGGAGATGTTCATAAAGATAATAATTGGTTTCTTACTTTTTTTTGTTCTTTTTTTTTGTTGAAAGCATGTTAATAACTTAACTATTGTTTGTTTTCAAACTAGGGATATGCTTATTCTTTTTGCACAGGCTCTTTTGCCAACGTTTCCTGCGAATGATGGGGATGAAAAACAGGAGACAGTGAGGTAAAGATCAAAGTGCTTGTCATTTTAGGAAGTGACTTTCATACAGCAGCAAGTTCTTTCTGGTGTTGAATATATGTCATTAACATTTGTAGTGCAGTCTGAATTTGGTAATTTTTATGTATAGGACAGTTGGTTTTTATTTTTTAATTTGTATGTCTGTTTGATTTATTTTGTTTGTTATTAAAGTTATGAAAGTAATTTTTGGGGGGTCCAAATGTCAGTTGTTTTGTTTGCATTTTGAATAAGTAAAAACGGACAGTTTGATTTGGTACTCAGTTAATTTGCTTGATAGATCTCGTAGTGAAAGAGAAACTGAAAATGCTTGAACAATTGAGATTTGCTTTACTGCTGTTTACGATGGCAAAAGGTTTTAGTTTCACACAAAGTTACTGGAGAAGTATTCTGCTTTACTTGAAGTCATAGCCCCATGAAAGGGGATGTTCTGATGGAGTTTCAGTTTCTATTATTTATTATGCATCGCCGTATTATGTTGAAATTGTGAAATTTGTTGTTTTTCTTTTTTTGCAAATCAAATTTATTGATCTGTTTGTTTCTTTTTCTCAGTTTCTAATAAGAACTGTTTCTCAGTTATAATCATAGAATCTTTCAAAATTTATCCACTTTTTATTTTAATGAGTAAACATTGAAAAATGATTGTTTTTTTTTCTCATAGGAGGTTACTGAGTGGAGAAAATTTCAAGTTTGGAAATCCTCTGGAGGATTTGCAGAAGAAATTGAAAGGTACTTTTGTGCTTTCCATTTTTCTTATTTCATTGTTTAAACATATTCTAAAAAACTGCAGTGGATTAGTAAATTCAAATTTTATTTCTCTTTTTAATGTTGACTGGTAAAAACCCTTGACAAATCCACATCCATGAAAGACTGTGCCAAATGACGCTATTACCATTAACTACAAGTTCTTCTGTTGTAGGGTACTTTATTTTTTGCCCAGTGTGTTAATTCCACAAAAAAATACCTGTGTTAGTGTTATTTCACTGAACTAGATTTTCTTATTTATCATATGAAATAGTTCTTTTACAAATGACTGTTTGAATTTGTAACTGGTATGCTATTTCATTTAAAGGTTTTTAAGTTATGAATGAACATCTTTATTTTGTTTTGTAAATTTTACAGCTTAACAGCTCATTTGTTTATTTTCGCCCTGCTTTGTTATTTGCAGAGGGATATTTACATCCTGAAATAGCCCGTTACAGGAAACAGACACGGCAGTTCCGATATAGAGATTACAAAATGCGACATCAACGCTTTGTATCAGATTTGTTGAAACAGTTGCTTCTATCTCGTCAGGTAGGGAGAGAACTATTTAAAAAAATAATTTTGCTTTATATCAGTCTTCCTTTCTTCATACTTGGCTCAAAGCTGTGTTCTGTTTTGTGGTAATTTAACAAAATTAGTCGAGGTGTCCTTTAGGTTTGAGATGCTGTGTGACCCTTGTTGCTCTGACTATTAAAAGTCTCTATAGTTTTTCTGAGGGTTTTTTAATGTATTGTATTACGATAGGCTTTTTTTTACACACAATTAAGTCTTGTTTATAGTATTATCAAAATGTGATTTTGTGTAAATAATGCAAAATTTCTTCCTGTCTATTGTGAAGAATGCATTGATTACTTTCATATTTTCTCATAATGACCATATTGTGTTGCCAGTTGATTCAGTGTCAAAAAACGTGCCCTCTAACATATAAGGTTCTTTTTCTGTTTGTTCCATGGGACAGGAGCTGTTTGAGCAGGCCTCCACCTTGGCTCCAGGAGAACCAATCAAATACCAGTATCGGCCTCTGGTGAAGAAGAAAAGTAGTCATGTTGAGCAGAATGTGAAGAAAAAAACTGTCAGGTTAGTTTGCATGATTTTTTAACTCAAGTTGCGTAACTGGAAGATTTTTGTTTCACAAATGAATTGTGTTCCCTTGGAAATAAAGAAACAAACTTGTGAAATTAAGTTACCGGAGAGGAGTGTTTCCTACTGAATTTTTATTTTTTTTAAAGATGTATTATATTTTTCTTCAGTCATTTGTACTGGATGAAAAATTAATGTAGTGTTTTAGGATAGCATAACCACATAAAGTCTTTTTTTTTTTGTTAAAAAATTAGAGGCTTTTAATGGGACCTGTTTTTTCCTAATGTTGATAATGTTTCTTGAAATACAGTAAAACACTGATTGCTCGAATTCGACGGGACTGGCCTCGGTAGTTCGAGGGATCCATAGTTCGAAGGATATCCTACAAAGATAAAGAAGAAGAAAAAAACGGAACGGCAGGCACAGTTGGACAGATGTGTAATTTCGAGTCTTCTGTGTTCGACCTATCCACGTTATACTGTAGTTTAGTTAGACTCTTCATTATTGCACGTGGAAACAGAGTTAAATTCTTAAATGGATAAAGGATATGTTTTTTCATCGAGAATGTTGGTCTGATTTCTAGGATGTTGTATTCCACCTTGCCTGGATTGGCCCTGGCAGACATGGTTGAAGCAGCTTGCCTTCTAAATGATGCTAGTTGTGTCTATATGGTAAAAAATTATTTACAAAATTGATTTGTACTATAAAAACTACTTTTGTCTTTTTTTTTGGGGACAGGATTCTGAAGGAAGTACGAGAAGAATGTGGAATTCCTGACACCTCATCGGAAGAGGAGGATGAATCGTCTAGTAAGGGTTTGGAAGACCTATTTTTTGGGTCCATTAAAGAATGAACAATTTGGACTGAAATTCGTTTATTTTTTATGTCCTCAATATTTTTTTCTGGAAAATTTTAAGGGAGGTGTAGCTTGTAATTAATCTTTAGACTAGTAATTAAAAAATGTCTCATGCTTGCATGGATTGCTCTTTGTTTAGAAATTGAATAGCAATTTAAGTCCCTGTTATGATCCTTTGAGTTCTGGGGAGATATCATGAAAGATGTAAAAAAAACCCAAAAGCCGCTGTTCTGCTTTTAAAGTGACAATTTTTCCTTGTTTTTCATAAATCTTAGAAACCGTCCTGTATTTTTCTCAGAACTGTTCATTTGCAATGCAAGCTTGTATCCAGCATTAAATTGGCAAATTTATTACTGTTCATAACAGTTCAAAGACATGCATTTTTTGGAAAAAAAATTGTTAATTTGTCCCAGGTCCGGTCCAGAGAAGCAGACGACAACTGTTCAAATCTCTGGGGCCTATTCCCTCCCCTGAGCCCACACTGCCCAGCGTAGTCGCCACCTTCGCCAACAAACCTCCGCAGATGAACGGTGACATGAACAGCTCGCTGCACCACCCGCCCCAAGCCACCACACCATTGGGACCAACCACACCTGCTGCGGGACAGAACAAGCGGCCGCGGCCCATCAGCCCTGTGGAGGTCACAGAGGAAAGTTATAGGGTTATGCTTAAGATGCACAAGAGGAAAAAATTGCTGGAACCGGTGAGTTGTTGCCTTCTGTTGTTCTCTGTTATTGTCATTCACATTAAAATGAATTTTTAAAAAAAATTTTTGTTTTTTCTATTAAAATTTTTTTTCTTTTTGAGACTGGTCAGTTTTGAAAAACTCTTTCGTCAACCATTGTTCTTTTACAGAACTGACTGTTTCCTGTATGTTTTGGCAGTTTTTTTTCTCTATAAGTAATTAAATTATCAAACATTCTTTGCCAAGATTGGGCTCATTTGCAATAGAAGAATCCACAGGTCCTTTTAATCCTTTTTTTTTTGCTGTTTCGCTTTTCGCTTGAGAATGTTCTCCTCTTCAGACGCATTGGTCTTTGTCAGAAATTGATGGAGAAACTTTTATAATGCAAATAAAAGAACAATGGATGAGAGGAATACATTAAAACGAGAATTGTTTGGAGGTTGCTTTGAGCAGAGCTGAACAGAGTAATTAAGGGATTGTTCATTATTTGTTTATTTATTTTCATTAGTGTTAGATTAGTTTTCTCAATAAATAAAGCTGTTATTTCTGACTTGTAACTGGTGTTTCTTTTGCTGTTTCATTTAATTTTTTTTAGATAGGTGGTTAGATATTTGTTTACAAAAGAGTATCTGTTTATATATGTTGTGTCCTGTATCTCTTTAGGATCTGCCTGAATTTGACACAAGCAATGTCAGCCTGCAAGACATATTATCCCGGTGTCAAGCCAATAAGAAAAATTCCAAGGCTCATGCAGGTTTGTGATGTTTGATCTCTATGTGTACAACTTTCTAGTGCACATGGCATCAGTAGAGAAAAAGAAAGTATTGGCACATTACATCAAGGAGTGCAAAGAGTTGATGTTTAGCAAGGTGTTTTAAATAATTGCAAACCATCAACAAGCAGAAAAAAAAACCTTATGTGTTTCATATGTTATGTTAAATTTTGCAATATGGGCTACACCTGTTATGTTTACTTTTGTGGCATGAAACTTGCCAAGGCTGCTGTTACCCTCTGTAGATGGCATTTAATAGTCTTCATTTTCTGCTTTATGCTAATGAGACAGGGATGGAACCTAATGCTCTCTTGCCGAAATTCCTTTTTCTCCCCCTTGTTTTTGACGATTTGGGGGGGGGGTAATCGTGATTTGAAATTGGTTATTATTAGAGAAAGAGTATAGATAAAAGTAAGCAAAAAGAGAAAAATCTGTGCTGTGAAGACGTTTAAACATTCCAAAAAATGTACAGCACACACTACTCTCCTGTGATATGCTCAAATTTTGTGGACTTCTCTCTCTGTAGGAGACAGCACAACAGGCAATCCTGCCACCATGAAGAAAAGACTGAAACTCAAAGCCAAAGGAGAGAAAAAACGCAAGTTGAAGGTGAAGGAGTCGCCGAACCTCTTAGGGGAGGAGGATATGGTCATGCCTGCTGCTTTACCCAGTCTGGACACCAGCCTAACGTTCCCTGGCCCAGAAGAGGTTCCAGACGAGTGAGTATTGATTCGGAGACATTCCCATCGTCTTTTAGTTGGGAGTTACTCCGATTCCTTTTGGGAAAGGGCTTGATATTGTAACTCAGTACTTCAATTTAATGTACAGATTATCATCAGTCTAGTGATTTTGATCTGTTAGTCATTTTGTGTGTGTCAACTTTGCAAAATCTGAGAACCTTGTCAATTCAGGAACAAATGATGGGTCAGAGTGCAAGAGGACATTTGCTTGCCCTCTGCTGGGAGTTAGCTAGGCTCGTGTTAAAAAGTGACCAATCTAACCACTCACTGTTAGACTCCTGGAATAACCAGTCCTTCTTATTCAGTGTGTTGCACACATTGATGTGACACTTTTAAACAATAATGAGAAGAAATAACATTTGCGTAGCACATGTCCACTCTCAACAGCAAGCTATGAGTGCTTTACAATCTATATTATTAGCCCAGCAGACCCAATAAAACTCAGACACATTCTCGGCTTCCTGGGAAACATGGCACAAACAGCCGAGTAAGTGCTCTAACACCTACAAACTGACCAAATGTTTCGATGTCTATAGCAGAGTGCTTTCCCACATTGGTGAAGTGGGGAAAATTTGTGAAAAAGCCTTCCCCAAGAATACGTAAGGCCCGTGATGGGGTTTGAAACCATGACCTTTCGGTTGCGAGTCCAGAAGTCTAACCACCTGACCGCCAACACCACTTTTTTGTACTACTCTCATAGTTGTGAGCAATGAAACTCCTGTGACTGAACCCATTTTTCTCCTTACTTCCCCAGACCATTGCAAAAGACAGTGTTTGGCCCTGCTACTAATTTCTTCTGCCTCCTGCGAGATATATTGTCAGAATTTCCTGATGGTAAAACAGCAACTGCAAAGGTAGTTTTTTTCTTGAGTACTAAATTGCACTTTCTTGGCATGTCCTTTGTTCGTCGTCCAGTGCCCTTGAAAGTAATCTTCGACCCATTGATTTAAGAGCAGCAGGAATTTTTGAAAACATTGATACATGGCGTGTGTGGAGGAAAAATGTTGAGTTATGTATGTTACATGACTATAATATGATTATGATGGTAATTAATCAATAATCAATATCTTATACAACCCCCGCCCCGAATGTTCTTTGCTCATAGTTTTTTGTTGCCTTTATGTGAAGAAGTTGATTTGTTAATAAATTGCTAATAATTTAAATTCTATGAACTGGAAGAAGTTTGTAGTTTTAAGTATGATCTTATGATTGGAAGAGAGAAAAAAAAGTAATCGTGCTGTATTCATGCCAGTAAGATTTGTCTTGTGCTTGATGTGTGTGTGTGAAAGGTGACGTTGTGTTATCCTGATGTGTTTCTCCACCCCTAGGTTGAAGAAAGAGTTCGGGAGTGGTTGGACTCCAATGATGAGATCTCCAACCCATGGCTGGCCCTGCAGAAAAATTGGGTCGAGCTTGTTGCCTCTGCTCTCAAGTTTTTGTCAGGAAGTGAGATTGGTAAGGGCATGCTAGATGTTGGGGTTTCAAGTGCATGTAATATGGCTACTTGTACTAGTATTTTACAGGAAGCTGAGAATGTTTTCAATGTTGTTTGGTTTCTTAGGGAATTATTAGATTGTCATTCCCACAGAGCCAAATTTCAAGTGGAACTATATTCTATGCAAATGAAGTCTGATTTAATTGTTATTATTATTAATGTACAGTTGAAATTGTCCAAGACAAAATGTGTGTCTTACAAATGTGGGTGTCTTGTACAGTATCATTATAATATAGAAAAAATGCAAGGAAGGGATGGGAAGTGGTCATTTTTTTGTACAGGCGATTGTCTTGGATTGATGGCAATTAGAGCAAGTTTAACAGTAACTATGTTTTTTTCAAGAACAAGGTACATTTCTAGTTAAATCCAGGGTTCCCGCGGCCTCCTTGAATTCAAGGAGTCCTTGAAAACTGCTTGAATTTGCTTTCAAGGAAAAATCTCCTTGAAAACTCCTTGAATTTGCGTTCGAGGAAAAATCTCCTTGAAAACTCCTTGAATTTGCGTTCGAGGAAAAATCTCCTTGAAAACTTGAATTTTGCCTGATCGGACAGGAACACGTGTACAGAGTGACTGTCAGGCCCCGGGAATCCCGGGGGCCCCTGGAATTACCCAAGAATTTGAAAAAAATGGCCAAGACCCGGAATTTGAAGAAATCTGTAAATTGCCCCGTGAAAGACCCGGGAAAATACACAAACGTTCTCATTTGAAAACCAAATCGGATCACGTCCTTGAGTCCATTTTTGCTGGTCGCGGTTGTGATATAATATAATTCATTCGGCCTTTCCCGGCCCGAGAGTACGATAAACCCGCACAGGCGGTTATGGCGGGAACAAGTGGAAGTTTATGTCTGATACCGAAGCTGGATTGGGAAAATCAAGATCTACTTTCGCTTTCGTTACCACCAAGAAATTTTCCGGTAGGGACTATAGTAGTCTGATAGCGCCACTTTTGTAACATGCAGGTTCTGCATTACAAATGCTGTGTCGCCATGAAAATAATTCGTTTGTCCTGTGCTGTCACTTGTGAAAAAAACAGAAAGAAAAAGAAAGCTTCTTGTCGGGCTTGCCATTGTGACTGGTCATTGAACCTGTGCGTTTTCGTCACATCGTGAGTATCGGCGATGGTTGAGGTCACCAAAGTTCATGCTAAGTGAAGTCTGAGCGCTGCGAAGTATAGGACTCGGGAATGGGGGGATTATTGATTTTTTTTTTTAAAGACACGCGGG